TGCCTTCCTGGGAGCCCTCCTTTGATGATGTTGACCATCTCCTAATTTTAACACAAGTACACTTATTTTAACATTTACACAAATAATATATTTGGTGTTTAAAGAAAAATATTATAAGATACATAACCATGAAAGTTAAATAGCCTGAGAGCTGGAGCCATGTGTTCACATCTGTATTTCACTGTTAGCCACTTAATACTTATGAAACACTACGTGAATGCTTTAATGACCCATTGGTCTTTTATCATCTAGAGGCACTTGTTTTTAAACATTTTTGATGCTTATCTTTTATAGACTTTTCTATTACAATAAATTTCCAATATTTGAAAACTGAATTAAACTCTGTAACTTTCTTTAACCCTGTGTATCATGTTAATTTCTCCAGCTCAAAAATACACTTTGTAACATTTCAGTTTCCTGAATAAGTGTCTATCATACAGGTAGGAGAATTCTCTGTTGGATGTGTAAACTATTTCTTTTCTGCTATTAACATCATCAGTATATTGTCTATCATTGTAGCTAAATCTTTGTTTTTATTTTTAGAAGGAATACGTTGATGTCATAGGCTTTACTGAGCAACAGTACACACACACACACACGCACACACACCCTTGAAAAACGTGTTTGAACTGCATAGCTACACTTATATGTGGAATTTGTTCAGTAAATACACTGCAGTACTATAAATGTATTTTCTCTTAGGATTTTGTTAACATTTTCTTAACATTAGCTTACTTTAAGAATACAGTATATAATACATGTAACATGCAAAATACATGTTAATCGACTCTTTATGTTAAAGCTTTCAGTCAACAGTAGGCTATTAGTAAAGTTTCTGGGGAGTTGAAAGTTACATGTGGATTTTCAACTGTGTTGTGCAAGGGTTAACTATTAAAACTTTTGAGTGCTAAATTAAGCTACAAAAAAGTTTTACTAATTTATACTTATAGCACTAGTAGAATGAAAAAGCTGCCTATTTCCTTAACGTTTTCCCAGTTTGGGCTATTTCCATTATTATTATTTAATTTTATCATTTTCATGTATGAAAAATGGTATGTATATAGCATGGCTATGAAGGACAAATGACTGTGTATAGTACCCTTTTCCCATCTGTATAGGTGATTCTTTTATCCTTGAAAATTTCCTTGTTTCTTCCTCTTCTCCTGTTTTCATGAGGTCAAGGGCCAAATAATGAACATGGGAGAAAGATTAAAGAACACTCAAGTTGTTATAATAGTTAAATTTAACTTGCTTCTCATTGTTTTCTCGTTTTTATTTTTTTCAGGCCTAGCTTCTTTGTTAGTACTTTGACAGTTTTTAAATAATCTTTTAAATTATATTTTTCTTTTTTTTAATCCAAAAAGACTACATGTGCTTATTTAAAAATGAAATAAAACTCAAAATTATGCAGAAGTAATTTGAAGTTTGTTCATAAATAAAGTCGCTTCCCAGGATTAAAAAGATGTGAGCTTTGGCAGTTGGTTGATAGCGAGTTGATATTAATTTGTTTTGGGCACATCACTCTTTGTTAGGTGGCAAAAGCAAACAAAAGTTTTGCCTGAAGTAATGTTAAAAAGATTGCCTAGTGGGGTGAAGAAGGACTTCTTGAACTGGTGGAGAACTCAGGGATCACAAAGTGAAGATGAGATGATTTAGGGAAGCAAGAGCCTAGTAAGATATATGCTACAGTCATTGTGAAAAAGGTTTAAGCATTATAAGGATGTCCAAACAAATGATTCCCCTTATTCTCTATTAAGGACTTTAGAAAAATGTAGTTGTAGTGGACTAGGAATTCTTTTTCGTGGATAGAGTAACTGACTTAGAGATTTGAAATGATGGCTTTGCTTTGAATAAAAGGATTTCACTAGAGAGACTCTGGTGATGGGCACTTTTATAGTCTTTAGAGTTTGAATGATTTATTTGGATCAGGAATCATAAAATATGTTAAGATCTTTTCTTAGAATGCTAGGTCTAATGGGGTAAAGTAATAATTGTTGAGAAATGTGTAAATGAGTGGAAAGGTAACAAATGCTCATGGAAGGAAATGTGTGATTTACAGATTTATGCTGGCAGTTTGTTGACTTTGAATTTGAGGGTTTATATTTATTTCTTGGTTAATCATATTGTAGTACAGATGCCATGTTTCTCCCAACTGATAGTCACATAGGCTTCAGTTTCAGTTACTTTGGAAGTACCATATTATCTCTTTAAGGGCTCCTCTAATTCTAAAATGTGAATTTTACAAAGTCACATAACATATATTATTAGGTTATTGGAAATACAACCTTCCAAAGTTGTTGGGATTCTATAGCATCATTAAAAGGGCAGTCCAGATTTGACATGGTGACCGGACAAAATTGCTAGAGACTTGGACTTCTGTTGGTTAGGATGTTTTTAGACTCAAAAGCAAAGACCTGATTCTAGCTTAAATAATAAGCACATTAATCGCCTCCCATAATTGGAAGTTCATAGGTGAGTTGTATACTAGGCCTAGTTTGAGGTCTAGAAGTATCCAGCTACTTTCCACTTGTTTCTCTTCTATGGGCTTCATACTAAACATAGTTCCCTTTGTGGTGGCATTTGGTGATATATATGCTTCCTTGTTCGCATCCAGCAGTAGAGGGAGAATACCTTTCCCATGACTGTCTTTTATAAATCAGTGATGATTTCTGGACATGAACCTTGTTTGACTATTCTTTTCCAGCTAGTTTGATAAATAAGTTGGTTTACTTTTCTTTTTAGAAGACCATTAATCAGTGACCTTTATGAACTAGCACAAATCATGTGTGAACAACTAGAAAATGCAGGATGATTTGCAATCAGCTTTTCACCAAAACTGGATGTGCTTCCAAGGATAGGTTGGTTGGCATCATCTTTATGCCAAAAGATGAACATTATTTAAGTTACTTACTTATTCAAATATGTAATGATGTTTTTGGGTAATGCTTCTCTAATTTGAACTTGCTTAGAAAGTTCTCTGGATTGTATTCATATATATTTTGGCTGTTTACTGATAAACAGTATGGAAGCATTATACATGTAATTCTAGAAAATGTTAATTTCCATTTCCCTCCATTTTTACCATTGTAAAATTTTATTGCATTTGTTAATTCTTATTTGAAAAATCCAAGTCTTTTTTTAATTGAGGTATACTTGATGTATACCATTAGTTTCAGATGCTGTACAGCATAATGGTTCAATATATACATTGCAAAATCACAATAAGTAGTTAACATCCATTACTGTACATAAATGTTTTTTTCTTGGGGTGCCTAGGTGGCTCAGTCGGTTAAGCGTCCAACTCTTGGTTTTGGCTCTGGTCATGATCTCATGGTTCATGAGCTCAAGTCCCCATGTTGGGTGCTGTGCTGATGGAGTGGAGCCTGCTTGCGATTCTCCCTCCCTCCTTCCTTCTCCCCCTCCCCCTCTCTCCCTCCCCCCTCCCTCCCCCTCTTCCCGTCCCCCTCCCCTCTGCCCTCCTCACCTCCTCTGCATGCTCTCTCTCAAAATAAATGAACATTAAAAAATTTTTTTCTTGTGATAAGAACTTTTAAGATTTACCCATCAATTTTCAAATTTGTGGTACAGTATTATTAACTGTAGTCAACCATGCTGTACATCACACCTTCCATGACTTGTTGCTCATCAATTAAAAAGTTTTTATGTTTATTCATTTTTGAAAGACAGAGACACAGCACAAGCAGGGGTGGGGCGGAGCAAGGGGGACACAGAATCCGAAGCAGGCTCCAGGCTCCGAGCTGTCAGCACAGAGCCTGATGCGGGGCTCGAACTCATGAACCGTGAGATCATGACCTGAGCCGAAATCAGATGCTCAACCAACTGAGCCACTCAGGCGCCTCGCTCATCAATTTTTAAAAAGGGCTCTCACTGCCAGTTCTAATGTGTGTATATAATTTTTATTTTACTTTTTTTAAAACCCCCTCTCTGAGTTAAAAAATTTTTTTTAATGTTTATTTCTGAGAGAGAGAGAGAGCGCGCGCGTGCGCGCGAGCGAGCAGGGGAGGGGCAGAGAGAGAGAGGGAGACACAGAATCTGAAGCAGGCTCCAGGCTCTGAGCTGTCAGCACAGAGCCCGACTCGGGGCTCGAACCCATGAACTGTGAGATTGTGACCTGAGTGACCTGAGCCGAAGTTGGATGCTTAACTGACTGAGCCACCCAGGTGCCCCCTCACTGAGTTTTTAGATCCACAGGAACTGTAGTTTCTCCCAAAGCCTTTTATGCCTTGGGGATTTAGGGTTGTGTGATGCCCTGTTTTAGAATTGAGTTGGAGCAAGGTAATTGTGGGATGGATTTTTTTGTGAAAAAAAGCATCGCAAAAGAAATACGCCCTTTGCTCTTGGAGGTGGTTGAGCTCTTGCTCATTCTTAGAAGTGAGGTCCCTTGTGGGAACAAATAACCCATCGTATTCTGGAGTAGACTCAGAAAATCTTAATCCTTTTATCAGATTTGGTCTGTGAGGAAGGTCATGTTGATTCAAGAGGAAGCCTAGATTCTGTTCAAGCTTAGATTTGAGATGTGAGTGCAGTTTTACATTCATGAACTCCTATATATTTGACATTTGTTACTATGTCTGACTATGAGGAGGGGGAGGCCCCAGATTTCTAAATTGTTTGCTCTTAATTTTTTTTTTCAACGTTTATTTATTTTTTGGGGGACAGAGAGAGACAGAGCATGAACGGGGGAGGGGCAGAGAGAGAGGGAGACACAGAATCGGAAACAGGCTCCAGGCTCTGAGCCATCAGCCCAGAGCCTGACGCGGGGCTCGAACTCACGGACCGCGAGATCGTGACCTGGCTGAAGTCGGACGCTTAACCGACTGCGCCACCCAGGCGCCCCTAAATTGTTTGCTCTTAAATATCACTGTCTGTTGGGAGGTGGTGGGTATGGTGGGAGGCTTGTTATAATGTTTCTAAAAACATGTATTGTTGATTTTGAAATGAGACATAATTGCGACTCATACTTATTTTCCCTTTTTCAGCATTATCTGCATACCAGAGGTACTACAGTTTACAATCTGACTACTGGAAGGTTAGTGAACATTTGCATGTCTGTTTCCTATTTACTTTTTGGGCTGATTACTACTGATTATGCTCAAAATAAACTGTGTTCTTTTTTTCTTTGTTTTGTTAATTACTTAAAAATACTACTTCTAAGGAAAAGGGATTGGAAAGAAAAAATATGAATGTTCTTTGTACTATTTTGTGTGAACCACTTTATATTTTATTAAGAGAGATAGATTGCTCTGACACAGTTTATTGGCCAGAGATGATCTTAAGAGCAGGAATTTAAAAGCAAGTATAACCAACGGCAACAAAATGATTCTTTGTTTTTTTTGGTCTTAAGTTGGTACCTGGGATTAAAGAAGGCTGAAGATGGGTGTATGAGACTGAAAAGGCGAGGCATAACGGGAAAATTGTAATCCTTTTTAGTACAATTTGTCTATGATTGGAGCTCAGAGGACAGTTGAGCCTTTATTTTTTTTTTTTTTAAATGTTTATTTAGTTTTGAGAGAGAGAGCGAGCGAGCAGGGGAGGGTCAGAGAGAGAGAGAGGTGGGGGGACAGAGGATCTGAAGCGGGTTCTGTGCTGACAGCAGAGAGCCCAATGCAGGGCTGACTGAACCACTGAGCCACCCAGGCGCCCCAAACCTAACCGTTGTTTAAAAGTCTCACCTAAATGAAGAACTGTGCATAATAGTGAGTCATCCATTTTCTTTGTTTAAGTACTTCATAAAGTTACCGGGGCAGGTTAATCTTCACATCATGTTTATTTTTAAGCATAAATTTATTGACGAGTGGGTTTTTAAGATGTATTTTATTTTTCCATCACCTAGTTTATCTTTCTTTTTGATTTGTAGAAGTTTTGACAGTATATTTTGGTAATTTAAAAAATGTATTGAGAATACTTTGTCCAGTCTTATGTTTTTTTATTTATCATTATTATTATTATTATTATTATTATTTTTATTTTTAATAGTTTCTTTTTTTTAAAATTTATTATTTTTTAAAATTGACATCCAAATTAGTTAGCATGTAGTGCAACAATGATTTCAGGAATAGATTCCTTAGTGCTCCTTACCCATTTAGCCCATCCCCCCTCCCACAACCCCTCCAGTAACCCTGTTTGTTCTCCATATTTATGAGTCTCTTCTGTTTTGTCCCCCTC